TGCACTTATTTAGTATTGGACGAAGCCGATAGAATGTTGGACATGGGTTTTGAACCTCAAATTCGTAAGATTCTCAGCCAGATCAGACCCGACAGACAAACTTTGATGTGGTCCGCCACTTGGCCCAAGGAAGTGAGGAAATTGGCCTCAGATTTTATGAACGACTATGTGCAGCTCAATGTTGGTTCTTTGGAATTGTCTGCTAATCACAACATTTTGCAGATTGTTGATGTTTGCCAAGAACATGAAAAAGAGACCAAGTAAGTACCTGTATAAAATTTGTTGTGTAGTATTTTCAAAAAACATGATGAGCCAAGTAAATGATAAGAATCCATGATTATTATCAAGACACCCTTTAATCCTCTAAGAAGAACTGATTTTATAAAATTGAAATAAAAGATTATCTGAAAAAAGTTTCTAAACAAAAATTGAAAATATTTTTCTTCTACTAGATTGAACAACCTCTTGCAAGAAATCAGCAACAACGGCGAACCAGGCTCAAAAATCATCATTTTTGTTGAAACTAAGAAAAAAGTTGAAGGTATCACTCGCACCATTCGCCGATTCGGTTGGCCAGCAGTCGCCATGCACGGAGACAAAAGCCAACAAGAGCGCGACTACGTTCTAAGAGAATTCAGAAATGGCAAGGCCACCATTTTGGTAGCCACTGACGTAGCTGCCAGGGGATTAGGTGAGCCAACAATTAATTCTCCTGTTATTATTGATCGATAGCTTCGAGATCCTACTATTGTAATTGTGAATCAAAATAGGTGTTCGATTTTCACATTGTGGTTTTCAAGGCCTGTTTTTCCATTCATTATTGCTGCTCGAGTATAATTGAAATACACTGATGTGTACTTGAGCTGGTTGTGTTGAATTGTTGAACAGGATCTCAAGATTTTTAGTAGCATTCATTAGGATTTTCCAGACTGGATTATTGTGTTTAAAGTTAATTGATAATGGCCGCATTTTTAATTATTTTCGGGTAGGAATTTCATTATTTTTAGTGGAGTAAAAATTGAATACAAATTTATTCAAATATTTTATTAAATTCTCTGACGTAATTTTTTTACTCCACTAATTAGTTTTTATTTTAGAAATTAATTTGAGTGTGATGGGTGACATTAAGCCACCCTCACGTTTGCATTCAAAAGATCATCCAACAAATAAGTGTGTGAGGGTTTAATGCCACCCATGAGCACGTAGCCTAATTATTATATTGTTATTAATCAGTCTGGGTATCCATTTTGTTTCAGAGGCACAAGCAGGATAAGGAATAATTTAGCCAAAAATTAATGTGAGCTAAATACAAGTGTTGTGTTCTAATAAAAAAAAAAAGGATGCAATATTGTCTTGCGGGTGCCTCTCTACGGAACAGACCAGCGGAAGATTTTAACACCTTCAATAATATTGGCGTTTGACATTTTGATACTCCACCCCCCCCCCAAAAAAAAAAGTAAAATAAAGAAGACCATCAAAATAATGTCAAATCAGCCATAATTCCGTCGATGATTGTGTGTTCTTCCATTGGTCAAATTGATATAATATCTGCTGCAACTGTTTTGAGTGAACCAATTTTTTAACCGAATCAAATCAATAAACAAGTACGGTCCACTTAAGCAGGCAACGCAGATAGTATGATGATGATGTGCTACTAATTTTTCTTCTAAGCTTAATTATTGTGAATTGAGAATCTAAGCCACGATTGTTCACATAATATATTGATGGGATTTTCTCGATATAGACGCTCGATCATGGTTAGTATCTGTTGTTTTTTAAATTATTTTAATTTTGCATGCTTATTTTTTCATTCAGCGATCGGCGAAAATCTAGTCAGAGTCTGGTAAATTTTGTATCATTTTTCAGGAATCTGATTACATTTTAACTGATTTATGATGCTTTAACAATTTTTTTTTTCTCATGCTGCTTCTATATGATAATTAAAATTATATTTTTGTATTACTAATTTCAGGTTCGGTTAGGGCAAGTTACTTTTTAAAAATACAAACTTTTAAAATCAAAGTACAAATGAATAAAGATGAATTTTCATTCGTTACAATGGCTTAAATGATTGCCGTTACAGGTTCTCATCATAAGAGGCCATGTCCATAACTTACTTTCTACTAGAGCATCATGAGAAATTGCTTTAAAACTGCTAAAAAGACTAGTTTTTTTTTTGTTAATTTTATTAATAAATTAATTGTTAAAAAAACTAGTCTTTAAACAAGCAAACAAACATTAATTTAAATTTTCTCTTCACTAGATGTGGACGGTATTAAATACGTCGTCAATTATGACTATCCCAACTCGTCAGAAGATTACATTCACAGAATAGGACGTACAGGCAGATCAGAAACTACCGGCACTTCTTACGCATTTTTTACACCAAACAACGCTAAACAAGCCAGAGACTTGGTGTCCGTTTTGAAGGAGGCCAATCAAGTAAGTCGATGAAATTATTTAAAAAGTTGAAAACCCTTTCAATTTTGGCATGCCTTTGCCTCGATTATCGGCTCTGCATGAGTGCTGTTGAAAGGGAAATTAAATTGGGAAATATGCCTTCGGTGTCCACACGCTTAACAGTCTGGATCCCATCCTCAAATTTCCCTACAAATATTTTCAGTAACTTCTTATTCTGTATAAAGAGAATATTTATTTAATGTCATAAAACTCACATTTTATTTATTTTTTTTCAATTAGGTAATTAACCCCAAATTGCAAGAACTCGCCAGCAGATCTGGAGGTTACGGAGGCGGCGGTGGCAGATGGGGCTACGGAGGCGGTGGTTTCAAAGGCAGAGACAATAACGGCGGTGGCAGAAGTCACCAGAGATTTGGTGGTGGTGGTGGCGGAGGCGGCGGTGGCGGCTTCAAAGGCAACAGCTACGGAAAAAGTAACGGAAATGGATACGGAAAGAGTAACGGTAAGTTATTGTTTGAATCTTGTTATGAATAGTGATTAATTTTTTATTTTTGTTTTCAGATTATTGAATAGCAGAAAACTAGAACAAAAACATTTGTCAGTATTTCACTTCGTGGATTCCACATTAACCTAACAATAGTTTTTTTTATTTATTTTATAGTTTTTTTCATTTTCATAGAAATGTTGCTGTAACATTATGAGGAATGAAATCTCTTTATTTTGTTTTCGATAAAGCAACGATTCTTTTCAGTTTAATAATTATGAATGTAATTATTATTATCGTGCATGTGTGTTTTTCGAGGCTATTCCCCCGTTCTTAATGTTAATCTATCACCTGGGTTTATGACTGTGATAGAAAAAAAAATTTAGGTTTCTCCTTCTCTTTTGCATTACAATATTTCATTGTATTGATCCTGGGTCAAACTGAAGGAAAAAAAAATTAAGAAAAATAAATGTATTTGTAATTAATTTACTTTCGTTTTATTTATTTGTCAAATTAAAATTCGTAATTTTGACTACTTCCCAAACCAATATATTTTCCCAACTCCTATTATTACTTGCAGACTAATACAATCTATTGGATTGATATAAGACTTGAGAATCATTTTTTTAGTTTTTCATACCAATAAAATTTGGTAAAATGCAATAAAAATAAGATTTTTGATTTGACTTTTTTAAAATTTTATCAATTTTAGGCCTGGTTTATTTACCTGATAAACTGTCAGGTAGTGCGATGTGACTGATATAAGCACAATCTACAATCCCATTGGCCGGCCAGTTACCTATCGACCAATAAAATTTCATTGCTTTCGAATCGATTTTTGAAATGAAACAAAAACTCAATTTTCTTCAAAACTTTCTACAGCATTCTGTAATCTATTTTGTGCTCAAATCTGAGAATAATTTAGTGTATGGAGTTTGGGGTATGTTGATTGACCATTAGGATACAAAATCTCGACAAATAAAAATTTGAAATTTCATCGTTTTAGTAAGAAGGTACCCCCGTTATGATTTTTTTGGAAAACTTTGAAAAGTCATAACTTTTTTTCTATTATAGATACAAAGCTGAAACTTTCACTAAATTTTATCTCTTTCAAAGGACTACAATCCCTGAAAATTTCAGCTCATTTGCACTTATAGTTCCTGAGATAAAATCGTGTTGAGCAATTTGGGGTGATTTATCAATTTTTCAACTTTTCTGAGTGCCTTTTTTCACAGAGTTCGCCTTCAAATCTGTGAATAATTTAGTGTATGCAGTTTGGGGTACGTTGATTGACCATTAGGATACAAAATCTTGAAAAAAAAAAAATTTGAAATTTCATCGTTTAGTAAGAAGGTACCCCCCTTATGATTTTTTTGGAAAACTTTGAAAGTTCATAACTTTTTTTCTATTATAGATAGCATCCCTGAAAGTTTCAGCTCATTGACACTTATAGTTCCTGAGATAAAATCGTGTTGAGCAATTGGGGGTGATTTATCAATTTTTCAATTTTTTTGAGTGCCTTCTGTTAATTTCTATAAGTCAAAATTTTATTTGCTTCCTTAAAGGCCGGTTTATTCACCTTCTGAAACTGTTAGGTATACTATCTGACAGATAAAAACGCAATATATGTAATCCCATTGGTCGGCCAGCTATACGCCGACCATTAGAATTGAAGAACAGTAAATTTATTTTGCAGATAGTTACCAGCAAGTTTATCTGAGGATGAATAAATCAGGCTTTCTTGATAAAGAAGGAGGCACAATTAACATTGAAAATAGGCCCCCGTAAATTTCAACCAAATTTTAAAGGTATCATCATTGCAAGAAAAAATTTGAAATGTGAAGGGGATCATAATATGTCTGTGATAGCAGATATAGCTCATCAAAATACGTAGGTCCTGCTATACTATGCATAGGAAATATCCATCCCTACGTCGATTTTCTTGAATTTCTCGAAAAATACTTATCTGATTTTGACCTTTTTGGAGTTTGATACTTACAAAATGACCCCAAAAACTTCAAAATCAGATTAGTATTTTTCGAGATATTCAAGAAAATCTATGTAGGGATGTTTTCTTGGATATTTCCTATGCATAGCATAGCAGGACCTACGTACTTTGATGCAAGCAAATTGAGCTACAATATTAGTCATCTAACAAGATGCAGTCCATATTTGAGTTTCTGGACTAAATTTGTTATACATAATACACTTGTACTACCACATATTAATTATTGTGCAAGTATTTTGTTTTTGTTAAACCAGAATACATTAGGAAGAATACAAAAAATGCAGAATCGTGCAATGAGGGTGATTTTGGGATGTAACAGATACACTTCAATCCGTTCTATGCAAGAACGTTTGCAATGGTTGCCTGTTTCTGAATATATTAAGTACAGTGTTATGGTTTTTATTTTCAAGATAAAGAATGGTCATGCCCCTCAATACTTAATGGATAAAATAATTTATAATAATGAAATCCATAACTACAGTACACATCAGCAAAACGATTTTTTCATAGCACCAAAAAATAAAAAGTGGTCAAAATACTGTCACAATAAGCTAAACGTCCGCCAGGCTGTCAAGAATCTCTCGGTATTATCTCTTGAGTATACTAGAATCTAGTGAATTATTCTACTTAATTCGGGAAAATAATATTATCGTGTATTCTAGATTTTACAGGAATAGATTTAGGGATATATAAGAAGGCCGGCATTGGTTTGTAGTTTAGTTTCAGTTCGAGTGTGATACGATTTAAATAGTGATTGTAAAGAGTTGAATTGTTGAGTTTGTTAATAAAGTAATTAGTGTCAGAGTGTTTTGTTAAGTGGAATAAATTATTGCTGTGTTAATTGGACTTTGATTTTTGGAATAAACGAAACGAACAACGAACCCAAGAATTTTGTCAGCAGGCAACCCAAAGCTGCGACAATACGTTATTTTTTAGGGGAGTCGATCTATACAATAAATTGCCCGCTGTGATAAAAACATGTGATTCAATGTATAGTTTTAAGAAACAGCTGAAAGTTCATTTGCTGAGAGAAAATAATTTGTATGTACCTTGAGATGGTTAATTATTGTTCTGATTTGGATTGATTTTTGTTTTTTAAATTGTTAACTTTATTGTAAGGATGACTGGATTTGTAGTCTATAGTCTATGATTGTTAGTTTTAATAAGTAATGTGATTTTGATATTTTGTTTTAGATTTTAGAATAAGACGGAACCGGTATATTGTAACATAGAATTAGTATATTGTGCTAAATAAATGACTACATAAAATATCTGCTATCACAGACATACGATCCTCTTTACATTTCAATTTTTTTCTCGCAATGATGATACCTTTAAAATATTGGAATTTGGTTGAAATTTACTAATAGTGTTTGGATTAGTTTGTAAATTAAATACAAATTATTGAAGCTAACAGATTTATTTACCTTTTTTTTCCAGTCCAAAAAAAAAAAAATTATTTACCCTCAAAAACAAATCTAAACTAAATAGTTACAAACAAAATGAGAAAAACACTACATACTAATTTACTACTTAAGTACTTGGGTTTTTTTTTTTGTCTCAAATGACATTTTTTTTTTATTTGAAAAATAAATAACTTAAAAACTACTTCAAATACTAAAATAAAATAAATAACAGTCCTCAATTATTAATGGAATGGTTTTGGTAACGAAAACTATTTACTAATACTTTTGGTTCATATAGAAACTTACAACTAACTATACTTAAGGCCGATTTATTCACCATCTGATAAACTGTCAGGTATGCATAAAAACTCAAACTGAATCCCCAATTATCCGCCAACGAATACGATTATATCTTGCAGATAGTACACCAGCAAGTTTATCTGAAGATGAATAAACCGGGCCTTAGAACAAATTTCAAAAGTGTTTAATTACAAGTTAAATTTTTTTTGGAGTATGGTAACAATTAATGTCCATTTTATAGCAAACTATCAATTCCGAAATTGATCCAAATAAAACAAAAAATAGTACAGACTCAATTTCTCTCTCTGAAAGGCGATCCTCGGCTTGGACTCTCCAGCAAAGACCTGTTGGGACTGTTGATGTTTTCCTTATTTTTGCTGCCAAGTTTGAACTTTTTCTTCAACTTTTGCTCTTCAATTATATTTTTCATTTTTAAATTTTCATTTTCCAAACTTTCTTTATCTTTCTTCAACTTTTCATAGCTCTCTTCGATTTTTAACAATTTTTCCAGTTTCAGTTTCATTCCGGAAATTTTAATTTTATCGTCGCGATTTTCAATGTCCAAATGTTCGAAATCTTGTAACAGCGCATCATATTTGCCGCTGATTTCGATGTATTTTTTTCGTGTTTTTGTGCTGTCTTTGGCGTCAGTTTCCAGTTCTTCAGCCTTGGATTTATAATAAAGACATTTGTCAACTACCTCTTTGTTTGTTTCTGTTAGATTTTCTATTTGGTCTTGAAATTCTTCAATTTTTTGGTCTTTTTCTTTGTTTGAAGATTCGCTTTTTTGCAAAGCATCCTCTAGATCTTTCATTTTTATCGCATAATATTCTTCGATGTTTTCTATTTCTGAACTGACATCTTTAACCATTTTGATGCTGTGAGTCAGTTGCTCCATTATATCGCTTTTTAGTTCTTGTTGATTTTTTATCTGAAAAATACACACTTTGTAATAAATTTATTTTATTGCAGATCATTCTCTCTTACCTCTTTGGAATATTTATTCACTTTTTCTTTATACTGGTCAACTTTATCCAACAAATCCTGATTGATTAATTTTATCGATTCCACACTGGACTCTAGAGCAGCCTCGTAGTGGATTTCCATGTCATCGTTCAAATTTCTAGCCTCTTTCAATTCCTCAGTTACATGGTAATATTTGTTCTCGTAATCTAACAACTTCTCTTCGCAACTAGAAAAATTTGAAAATCAATTAAATATAATAATTTTTATGAAGACATTAAAACTTACTCAGTCAATTCTTGTTTAAGTTGTTCCACACCCCGATCTGATTCAATTAGTCTCTTCTTCATTACTTCAATGGCCATTTGTGAATTATTAATCGTCATTTCGTAGGCTTTTATTTGCGCCTTTAATTTTTTCACTTCTTCATTACTTTTCTTCAGCATTGTATTTAAAGATTCAATTTTTGCGTTCAACTCAGTTTCGGAATTTGTGTCAATTTTTTGATTAAATTTTTCATTATATTTCTTTTCAAGTTCTTTATAAAGATTTGTCGTTTCTTCCAAAGACCTTTGAATCTGTTTTTTTTCTAATTCACACTCTATTATACTGTACTCGCTAATGTCTTGGCATTCTTTTAAAATAGCTTCGTGCTCTTTTTCCTTGTTTTCCAGTTTTGCTTGCCACATTTTTTCAATTTCGTGCAGTTTATTCTTCAACACCTCCTCATTAGCTTCATTGTAATCTTTTATTTTAATTTCGTAGTCCAAAATTACTTGTCCCATTTGATATTCGTTATTTTTTTTAATTTTTTCAATTTCCTTTTGTAATTTTTCTTCGATTTCCTGTAATTTAATTTGAGTGTTTTCTTCCTGATTCTGCAATTTGGTCATCGTTTGGAGCATTTCCAATTCCAAATTTTGTAACTCGTTTTGGTGTTCTCTTTCCAATTGTTCTTTTTCAGTTGTTAAGTTTTTTAATTTTGTTTTGCAAATTTCCAGCTCTTCGGAAAGTTTGTGAATGAACTTGGTTTTGTTTTCGCATTCTTCGTTTTTTTCTTTGAGTGCCTCAAAATCAATGCTGAATAATTCCTTTGGTTTCAGTTTGGTGCTTGAGCATGCAGTCTTGATTTTTCTCAGTAAGGTTGGCTGAAATTGAATTTGAATAATTTTCTTTTTGGAAGTGTTTTGAGGACAAAGTAGGTATAACAGAAAACTTTGAGAATCTACAGAATGTATCATTTGAAAATTAATGTAGATTTTGTAAACTTATCAAATTGATTACAAAATCTGGACTTTAAATCAAGATGTATTACTTCAAAACTCAATTATTATTAACAAAAGATTACTAACCGTTTTAAAATTTGCGGGTACACTTTTCGCAGAGCCATTTTCCGATGTGGCAGGACTGTCTCGAGCTGCCTTTTTTGTCTTTTCGGTGCTTTTGGTGAAGTTGGCAGGCAAATTTTCTGGAGAAAGATTGAAATAAAAGTTCATTAGTTTGATAGATTTTATCAAATCGTTTAAAGATTTTTAATAAATTTTAGGTATCGAAACGGCCTAATATTTCAGAACACTTTTAGAAAAATGTACAATATTTCCTCTACCAGCCCCTCTATAAATCTTGAATACACATTATCTCAAGCCTTATTCTGAAATACGAGAGTTTCCATACATTTCAACAAAAAATCTGTGTTGTCATAATCCAATAACCAAGTCAAATGGAGGTTTGACATTTACAAGTTTCAGTATTGTTGGGACGCTGAATTAATTACAATAAAAATAAAGATGGACTTTCATTTAAAAAAATTTAGTTACATACGGCATCTTGGAAACGGTAAACTTGACAACATTGGAAATACCCCCATTGAATGGGGCATTCCCAAAAATCCCCAGGGTGAAAATATCGTAAATTTTTTTGCGCACGTTCTGAAATATTAGGCCCTTTCCATACATAACGACAACCCTGTAGAATTGAACAAATAAACTTACGGTAACAAGTCACAAGTACATCAAAAATGTCTTATTTGAATGTCACAGCCATAGGATTAATATCAGTGAAAAAATTAAAATACCAAGTTAAAAATTGTCAGAATGAAAAGTTGTTTTACCTTTTCGAAAACTAAAAGAAATGTGGCAACAACGAAATTGTATTTCTAATAAGCATAAAAAATTCTAACTTTTTTCTAATTTAACCACCCTCCTTACTTTATCGTTTTCCGAGATAGCAATAACTGTCTCTATGAATTAGCTGGCACCCTGTATACTATATTTTTTCCCAAGATAGACACACAAATTCGACAACATTGAAATTGCATGTGTGTAGTTTCGATATTCGAGCGAAAACGCTTGACCTCGAATTTTCAATAAATTTGAGATAGGAACATGCAGACTTAGTGCTTAATTTTCAAGATACAGATTGTCAAAGTTTTACTTATATTTTTGTCAATAGGCGAGTTCGGTTAATCCTCTGAGAGCAAAGAGATGACAGAGCTCATGGGACCTTTTATCAATAGTGTCATCTATTAACTCACGAAGGATTTACCGAACTCGCTTAATTGAACAGAAATTACGTATCAGGAGGAAAACGATTTTTTAAATACAACTAAATAGATAAATTAATTTCGGATAGCTGTGTCGTTTTATTGAGGAAGGCTTATTGACAAAAATGGAAAACAAAAGTAAAATTTTGACAGACTGTATCTTGAAAATTTAGCATGTTTCTATCTCAATTTTCAATTTTTAAGAAAATTTGAGGTCTGTCACCTGTCAAGCGTTGTCGCTCGAATATCTGGACACCATGTATAAACGATGCCGCTTGAAATCAGTGTTACGCTGAAGTGACCGATTCCCCGAGTTCGTCGAAATCAATTGCCAAAAATATTGAAAATGCACCTATTTTTTGGTTGATACAGGGTGTCACGAAAAGTTTGTTTTTGTTACAAACTTCTAGGGATAGTAGATCTCATAAAAATAACCGTTTTTTTAAATAAACGTATGCCTGCAACAGAAATGCTATGCTTTCCAGATACAGGGTGTTGAATTTTGTAAAAAAAGTAATTTTTTTTATAAATTCTTGGAAATGTGTTGGATGAATTTCACATAACAATAAATAACAACATTTAATTGGCTGTTAGAAGTATTAGAAAAATTACATTAGAAGTGGAGCATTCAAAAAAGTAAAACATCTAGTCAATCAATGGATTTTAGAGAGTAATTTCTCCTTAAATTTCTGATCTAAGTGTCATTGTAGTTTAAAATTGCCAGCACACACAGATTTCAAAAAGTCCATCATGCTGGTAAAACATTTTAGTGTAGTGGTAGAGTGGTAGAATATGGATTCTAAAACAGGGTAAGTTACTAAGAGAGTGGTGGTCACATAATATATAAACATGAGTTCATTCCTAAATTATTTTCCAGTATACAGGGTGGCCCAATAAGTAATGGTGACGTGACCCAAAGTTATGTTTTTTCAAATGTCTCCCCCTGTATATTATGACATTTCTGGATTCTGTGGAACATTCTGGACATATTTCATATACCTATCTTCAACTGTTTCGGAAATATTGACAGTTGAAAATTGACTTTTTTGCATTTTTGACAGACTGTAAAACCTGAACGGTTGATTTTAAAGCAAAACCGATCTTACATACATTCTTATCTTAGTTTTTCATAAACTATCATTTGACACCAACTTTGAATTTAATCCATGATTAAAAATTCCCCTTAAATTAATAATCTCTGGTTAAATTCAAAGTTGGTGTCAAATGATAGCTTATGAAAATCTAGGATAAGAATGTAAAATAGGTTTTGCTGTAAAATCAAGCGTTTAGGTTTCACCGAGGGGTCAACCACCTGTGGTAATAGGTGTACAAATTTCGGTAATAATTACGTAATAAATGGTAATAAGACGTAATAATAATAAACAAATAAAGTTTTATTTCATGTAATAATTATTTGTACTAACTCATAATATACAGGGTGTTCATTTTAAAACTTACCACCCCCATTATCACAGAGTTGAAAATTTTTGGAAAAATCCCTGAAACACATCAACTATAATTTGAAGCGGGATGAGTTTTTATGCAAAATTCACCTACCCCCTTTTAACCCCCCAGTCCCCAGAACCACGCCCTAGAAAATCTTAAATGGGAAGGGGGGTCAAGTGATACATCATTTTGGAGGGTTTTTAATTACATACATTTTGGTACCAAATTTTAATCCATAAGTTCAACTGTTTAGGAAATATTGACAGTTGAAAATTGACTTTTTGCAACTTTGACAGGCTGGAAAATCTAAATGGTTAATTTTAGAGGAAAACCGATCTTACATTCTTGTCTCAGATTTTTATAAACTATTTTTCGATAGCAACTTGGAATTTAATCCATGATCAAAAATTCCGGATAAAAATTTAATCTCTGGTTAATTTCAAAGTTGGTGTCAAATGATAGTTCAAGAAAATCTAAGACAAGAATGTATGATCAGTTTTCTTCGAAAATTAACCGTTTAGGTTTTACAGCCTGTCAAAGTTGCAAAAAAATCAATTTTCAACTTTCAATTTCTCCAAAACAGTTCAAATTCAAATTCATTTATTCCAGGTGTACAGTAAATTACATAGTATGTATTTTTACCCTGCAAGAGACAAGAAGTATGTGCACAGGCCCGGTACTCAAAACTAAATATCCTTAAACTAAACTATTTCTACCAATAGTTAGGAACAATTAAAGTTTTGCCTTTATTATACCTAATTTTTTTTTTCTGTAAATTTCTATTAATTTATATATTTTATATCAGTTAATTGAGAAATAAATTTATTTATTTTAATTTTATAATATTTGACAGAAATTGATGATTTATACATTTATGTTTTGTCCTCGGTTTTGTCTAATGAAAAATGTTATATTTGAAAGTTTTGTTGATTTTTTTTACATTTAATTATTTGGCAATAAATTATACAGTCGCAGTCTTATGGCACTCATTAATGATGATTTTTTACGTACTTCCAAATTAGTTTGTATACTAGGAATATTTCTATTTCTAGTATTTGTTTGTCTTTGTAAATATTTACTTTTTAGATATTCGTAATTTAAAATTAGTGTTTTATAATAGTAATTTTTTTTTTTATGTTTAACATCACATTTTCCCTATATGTATGTTAGGTTTAAAGCTGAGCTTCGTACTTTAAAAATAATTTTTAGTATCCTATTTTGTACTCGATTTTGTATGTTCAATAAAAGTTCATGGAAAAATTTTCCAATAAAATGTTATAGGAAAATTTTCTAAGCTACTCAATTGTTCAATTTATTGTTTGGTTTTTATCAGATAAATGTAGTATCATTTGGAATAGGTAGTTTTATTTGTTATTTTCAGTTTTTTGATATGTGCAGGGTTGTCCAATTTTGACACTTTTGATAGAAAACATCAACTTCTGAGCGAGATACAAAAAAATCAACCCCCACTCTGAGGCTCAAATTTTATGATATCTTGAACCATTTTGTGGCTAGAGAATCCAGTGACTTTCTCAGTTTTTTTCTATTTGTTCCCGAATTCGAGACGTTAACTAGAGTCCGATTGTTTTGATGGGACACCGGACACCTCCTATATATTCATAACTGATTGGATAGCTCTGCTTTTACCGCTTTCAATGATATATGTATATACTAGCTGACCCGGCGAACTTCGTACCGCCTCTGAATTATTAAATATACCTAGTCCGAGATCATAGAAGTTTTAATACACACGTTTATAAACGAGCTCTTGAAAAATGTACTTTTTGGACTAGTTAAAGTGTGTGAAAAATATTGAAAGTGGTTTTAAAATAGAGTTTAAAAGTTCGTGTTTAATATTTGCGTTTAATCCACCCAAAATGAGGTACTGTACTTATCAAAACTTAACGAAAAGCTATCTACTCCCAATTGTAATAATTGTTAATTATAAAAAGTGTGTGTAGTTTTTTTTATCTGCATTGGTGCCGGTTAAAACTGATAAGAAAAATACCTATATGAGTAATAAACCTATGAATATTTTAAATTGATGTTTTTTGTTCCTGCTTCGAGTTTTGTTCTGAAATGGCTTTTTCCTTTAAATGCTGCAAAAATAAAGCACAGAACAACTGGATATGTATGCTATGCCACAATGTTTTTCATAAGAGCTGTCGATCAAGACTCAACCAAAGTGTGGTAATAATTAAGGATAACCTAATACTATGTTCTGCTGAGTGCAAGTGATTCGGACCCTGACATGATAGCAAGCTTGAAACAAATAATTGACGAGCTTAAAACTGAAATTCATGACAAAACAAACTACATTGATAGATTGAAACAGGATAAACAAACTCTATTAGAAGAGGCAGAATCTTCAGAAGACCAACTAGTTCAAGAAAATAATGACCTTAAACAAAAACTGGCTCAGTTGACACAACAATCGTTAAAGCAGAACACCAACGCATCAAAGAACTCAACGTCCTCAT